ATTCTAATTTGAAAATTTTTAGGGGTGCAAAACTGCACCTCTAGTCTCTATATAAATCCGCCCATTCATCCAAGTGTAGTCAGTTTGGACCATGCAGAGCTATTGGGATTTGGCGTTATAGTCCATGTTTCATTATCGTTTTTGGTGGTTGGTGCTAGGATTTGGACTAAATAAGTTTTCTTATGGGTGAGTATAAGGTTTGGGTTGTTCTTTCATACGAGGGAGGGGAGGGGAGGGGAGAGAGGGAGGGAGCTCTCTTGTAGTCTTGCAATCCTATACTCTCTTCATTGTAGTGAATCCCATGTTGTTGCCCCATGTATGTAGATTAAATTAGGTTGACTGGACCTCATATTTTTTCGGTGTTTTTTTTTTCCTTGCATGTTTTTGTATTTTGTGTGATCTCTTTTTTAAGATCAGAGGTAGGGGTCATCATCCGCAACATGCACGGCGAACCTATAAGATTCTTAGTGCACTATCAGTAGCTGAAAGATGTTTAAGCTGATTTGTATGTGATCTGATGTGAGGATAGTTTCCTTCTTCTCTATTGAGTCGGATAGTTTCCTTCTCTATTGAGTCTATTTAGATGGTTGCCACTGACTGCTTTTTTGAGTTCCACATTTCTTTAGATGTTTCAGTTGCTCCATAGTTTCCCCCGGTTCATATGAGTACGTTTTTTGAGAAAACTACTTTGACATGTGTATACGAACCATTTTTGTTTTCGATGATTTTGTAAGAAAAGAGTTGGCAATACATCATATGTCTGGGCTACTGTCAATATGGGTACCTTTCTGTGTGGTGACTGTTGTCATAGAATTACTGATGTCCAGAGCAACTTGAGATATTTGTGGATGAGTGTCATTGTTCTTGAGTTCTATTTTACAATTTGTGTTTATCAATACGTACAATGTTCAAGGGCTCATGTGGCAAATGGTAAGAGTTGCCTGTGGCCGGCCATTTCATACACATTTTTATTTGACCTATAGTTTTTTAGAAGGGTATTTATTTCAAGGCTGATACTGAAATGGAATTTCATATAGATGTTATTATCTTGAATATATCGAGTTATCAATCGCTCTTGTACTGGGCGGGACAAAATAAACAGCTCTTTTTCCATTATGTTTGCCAGTGTTAGACACTCTGAAATAATTTTATATTCTTTAAAATTTCGGAAGAGAGATTCGACAAACACCTTTCTTCTTTTTCTTGAGAGGTAGGATTCATGGCACAATTTACGTACCTGCGTTTAGATGCATGATACGGGTTTTCATTTGGCATTACAAATTTATCGTCATAGAGAATAGTAAGTAGAATTACTTCATTTCACATAATAACAATGTATGTAAAACTATAGTTTTTGAAACACTCTTTTCGTTACTCATTAACCAGAGACAACATTGTTAACTCCGGAAAGCAACGTATGTTTTGGACATAGTGACATCAATTTATAAATTGAATCAGATCCTGGATCAGGGGTGTTCATGCCTTCATCTGTTGCTATCATTTCTCAAACTTTTCATTGACCTAGTTGGTTAAAATGTTTTAGGATGAAAACTAAATGGCACGATATTCTTGTACATATGTTGTGTTAATGATAAAGGGCACATTGACACTGCTCACAAACCTGGATGGATTGGTATAAATTTAGGCATATATTGTCTTATTTTACAATTTCTTTGTCAAAGAAGATATATAAGAATCTTACAGAACCCAAGGAATTGGTATAGTTACAGGATATCAGGGATATGATTTCTTACTTTGCGTTTTCTGTATTTGATCTCCGTTCTGTAAAAACATGCATCTTGTTTCAACCTATAAGCAGGTGGATGGCTTCATAAAATATGCTTCTGCTCATTGTGGGAGGAATATGCATAAAACTTGTTTGCTTGCTTCTTATAAAAAGTTATATTGTAGAAATTAAATGCATACGAATACCATAACCACAAAGCTCTAGCCTTATTTTAAGGGTGTATTTGGGTTCTTTCTTCACTGATTGTTTTCTTAGGGCAACACAGCTGCACTGTTGTCAATCCTTCTTGCAACTTCCATCTATTTTACGTAAGATTCTCTATTCCTTTTCATGATCTGCTTTATGCACCGTGCAGTTCCCTCGTTTAACTGCCACAACTCTATCTTTCAATTTTCCAATTTAGAGACTTTGTACTCTATCATTCGATTTTCTAGGCTGAAGAATAGGAATTCTATATTTTACTTTCCAATTTAGAGACTTGGTAGTCTTGAATTTGTTTAATATCGTGCATTGTTATCTGTGTCTGCAAAAATAAATTCAAATTTTTCTGTAACGGTGCATCTTCTTTTTTTTGTACAACTTAGGAATCCTCAACTATTTTGCATTTGACCTTTTTGGAATTTTTTAGTTTAAAGACATGGAGGCCCTATTTGAACCCTTTTTTAGTTAAGGGATAGGCACAAATTTTATTTTAGTGTAAGGACATGCCGATCCATAATGTTGATTTAATTTAAGAAGATTCTGGCCCATAATCTGAATTTCATTTTCATTTTAACGACATTTTGGTTCATAAATTTGACTTTCAATTTTCCAAATTTTAGTTTGTGGACATTTTGGTACATAAATTTATTAAAGCGTTTTTAGAAATTGGTCCTAAAATCTTTCATATTTTAAAATTACTTCGTCAAATCGTAAAAATTTGTAGTAGTTATCCAATTCAATAAATTATTCCAAATTAGTCTCTCTGTTAGTTTTTCCTTGCAAAATTTAAACTTTGGTTAGGTTAGTGACTAACCTAGCACGGTAAGATACTATTTACCCTCAATTTATTCATCTCCCTCCCTCACCCACCCCCCTCCCCCTCCTCATGGAAAACGGGTGGGTTGAAGATGACCATTGGAGGAGAAGAAGAGAGCGTAAACATATTTGAGTTTAAAAAAGGGTTTGGATTTGGATGTAAACTTAAAATGATAGGGTACAAGCGAAAACCCAAGTCAAAAATAAGGCTAGCGATGGGCCAGGCTAGGCGCGCCGGTTCCATTGATTCGGGCTGGATCAGTCTGAGCTAACTTTGACGTTGGGTTGGGCCAAAGCTCGGATGTCTGGGCTAGGAGTACAACCCGACCTGACCCACTGACCTAGCCCATTGGAGTCGATGTGGGTTGGTCAACCCAACCCACTATGTTTCTTTTAATTTTCTTTCATTTTCTTTTTTTTTCATTCTTTTGGCTCTTTTTTTTAACTTGATTTAGATGAACATTGACCAACCGGTTGGGATTTGTTGCTTGAGGAGGTTTTGAGACTCAGCCTGCCAATTATTTGCTTGACAAATGTACACGTTCAACTATATTATTAATTTTTAAGATTACTAATTGTTACTAATAATTAACTAGTTACTAATAGCTAATGTGGTTACTAATAATTGCTGTCAATGTAGGGGCTGCGGGCTTGGTTCAGCCTAGGTTTGGTTGAAGTTGGGTCAGGTTTGTGGTCGGGTTCGAGTTAGGCCTGGGTTTCAGAAACAGAACTGTACCCCGCTTGGATGCTAACAGGCCGAGCCAAACCCAACTCGCAACGGGGTGGTTCAGTGTAGGTTGTGGGTCAACCCAGCCTAGTCGCCACCCTTAGTCAAAAAAGTTACGTTTAATGGATACTCTCCCCCAATATTACCATGCTATTTAATTTGGAGTGACCTATATGAATTGGAGATCTAAATAGCAAATTCCAATGATTTGAGGGATTAGTTTAAAAATATAAACGATTTAAGGAACTTATATCTAAAAATACCCAGAAATTTCAATCCATAAACTTGTTTTGGGTCCAATTTTAGGTCACAAAGATCCATAATTTTTGCTTCTTGTCCAGCTTAAAGACATGAGGTCCATATTTAAATGTTCAATTCGGTAGTCCATAATGATGTTCTTCGTGTAGTCTAAATTTATTTGTCCAGTTTAAGGACGAAGGTATCTATAAATTTATTCTCTGCAGTTTGAGGACGTAGAGATCTATAAATGTGTTTCAGCCCAGTTTAAGGACATAGAGGTCCATATTTTTTTGTTTTGCGTGCTGGATGTAAGTTTTTGAAAATTATGAGCGGAATGTAATTTTCGAACAGTTAGGAGGCTTGGTTTAATTTTCCAGTTTTCCTTCTTTATTCCTTTTTAAATCAAGAAGCACTTGTTTTTGAGAACTAACAAACTTGTATAAGTGGAAAAGAGGCCAAAGCATTCATGCATTCTTCTAATCAACACTACTAGAGGGCTTTGAAGGAGTCCCCTCACCCCATTTAGTAAATAAAAATTAGCATGTTAGAAAGTTTGAAGGAAGGAAATCCTTTCAATTTCACTGCTTGAAAAAACTATAGTTTGCATACTAGAGGATTTGAAGTAATCCTCTACTAGTCTCTTCTGTGACTCATTGGTTGGAGTCTGACAAAGGCAAAGCTTCTATATTATTAATGTGCAATCTAGTAATCGTTTGGCTTCCAATATCGTAGCACGGAGAAGAGAGAAAGAAGAGATGGTGAGAGGAAGAGAGGGTCCACTTCTCTCTGTCTCTTTTGT